GCCCCATTAGCTAAAGTGATACCTCAAGTTAAGAACAGTTTCAGGTTAAGAATGGACCTCCGGAACGAATTAAGTTCTTATCCTGAGGCAGTGGCGTAGCGTGGGGGGTGCAGGGGGGCCGGCCGCACCGGGCGCAACATCTGGGGGTTAGGGTTAGAGGGCGCAAATCCACGGGTTAGGGGGCACAAATTACTTGCCTTGCCCCGGGTGCTGACAACCCACGCTACGCCACTGACCTGAGGTACCACTGTATTCATATACATTATTATGTGGTGAATCCTGTCAGTCAGACATGCCCTTTGCCACCCACCAGGGGTTGCATGCACTTTCTCATTTATACAAAAGAAACACATGCAGATGGGCTCAAAATTGAGGTCATCTCTCATTCCTGTTTGTTAAACATTTGTTCTGTTGACCAGAGAGGGGCATTTTCCCTATTATATTCTTTTTTTAAAATATATATATATATATATATTCCCAATCTGTCAGGGTTAAACTGAACGGAGGGACACACGATGTCCTAAACAAAGGATTGCCTAACACTGTGTTAGACATTATTTACTGCAGCCACTTCAGAACTGCCACTTGGGTCAGATGCACATTTCTTCTCTGGAGCTTATTTTGTCTTCACAAAGCACATGCCCCAACACACAGCAGAACTGCCATTTCTGCCTTTTCTCCTTCAAGACTTCTCAGACTTCATCTATGAACATTTATTTCACTTTGGAACCAACTGCTCAATTCTATTGCTGTTCTCCTGCACAACTGGACAGTATCTGCAATAACTCCAGAATGTGTTTAATTTGAAAGCCCTTTCCCACTAAATATTGACATATTGGGTGTGGTGTCGTGAAGGCAAATAATTATTGTATTCGGAAATACTTGTGAATTTTTATCCTATTACCAATTCCGCTGCTTCCCCTGCAACTAAATTCAGATACCCTTCTCGTTAAGCAGGAAATGCTGCAAATCCAAAAATGGCTGGTGAGGGTGGTGTGCATGGTTCTGCCCCCAATTTCATCCTCGCCCTGAACTGGTGATACACTCTGAACTGGTGCTGTGAAATCAGCCTCATTCTCAATGCAAGCTTAGAGAGGTATCGTACATGGGTGTCTTACCTGTGGAATCTTATAGATATCCAAAACTGTTGCCACATAAAAGGAGATTGCAGAATCAAGTCCCCCAATGACCCCAGCCAGATTATTTTCAACATCACATATATAGTTTGGGACAAATTTCTCCACCCTGGATAAAAGCAGCAGTGTGGCGAGATATGTGCTCCTTGCATTGGAATAGCTGTCATACAAGTGAAAACCCAAGGTGATATTGGGTAAGATTTGAGGGTCTTCATTGATCTCCTTGACTGCAAATGCCAAGGCCACGATGTGCTGGTAAAGCTTAGGCACCACCCTAGGATGAGATTTGCAAACAGTATCAGAAGGAACAGATATGAATTACAATAGTTAATCCTATTGAGTTCAATGGAGTTAACTCCCTGTCCATTCCACTGCTGAACAGGTCTTATAATCAGCAGGTTCTTCCTCATGTTTACACAGAATCTCCTTTCTTGCAACTTGAATCCATTGGTTCGCGTACTACCCTCTGGAGCAAGAGAAAACAAGCTTGCTCCATCTTCCTGGTGACAGCCCTTGAGATATTTGAAAATGGCTATGCTATATCCCCTCAGTCTCCTATTTTCATAGCTAAACATAGCAACCCCCCTCAACTTTTCCTCATAAGGTTTGGCTTCCAGACCCTTGATCATATGTGTCAACCTCTTCTGCACATGTTGTAGCTTGTCAGTATGCTTCTTAAATTGTGCTGAACACAACTGAACACAATATATCAGGTGTGTTCTGTGCAGCGCAGAAGAGATCTCTTCTGTGGTTTTTTTTATTGGGGTACTATGCTTCTGTTGATGCAGACTTTTCACACATAGCACTGGCAAACCAGGTGTTCCCCATCTTATATTTTTAATGCTGGTATTTCCTGCCTAAGTGCAGAACCTGACATTTGTCCCTACTGAAATTCATTTTGTTTTGTCCCAGTTAAGGCCTGTTAAGGCCAGTGGTATCTAGACCAGGGGTTGCTAATGTGGTGCCCATAGGAACATTGGAACCCCTGGGATCTTTCCCTGAAACATCTGAAGTCTTTTCCTGACATTTACAAAGTGTCTGAGCTCTCTCCTGCAATGACCCCAACCTCATTCATGATGCAGAGATGGTGGTTGTAATTCACACAATTCTCTACTTCATATTACAGTGGTACCTCAGGTAACATAAGCTTCAGGAAACATACGCTTCAGGTCACAGACTCCGCTAACCCAGAAATAGTACCTCGGGTTAAGAATTTTGCTTCAGGATGAGAACAGTAATCGTGCTCCGGCGGCACGGCGGCAGCAGGAGGCCCCATTAGCTAAAGTGGTGCTTCAGGTTAAGAACAGTTTCAGGTTAAGAATGGAACTCCAGAATGAATTAAGTACTTAACCCGAGGTACCACTGTATATGCGGTCATTGTGAAACAAACTATAGCCTAAGATCAGGAAATGAAACAATAAGAGCATTCAGCTTCTGTAAAGTTTTTTTTAATTCATTCTCACTAACACTCCTCCTCAGATAAAGTCTATCAAAATCGGTTGTTCAAAAGGGCTAATAAATATATAGACATTTCAATACAATTATATTCATTTCCTATTGAGAAATGGGAACTTATAGAGTATTCTCTTAATTCAGAAGACATTCCGACGTATTTTTACACCAGCATATGTCCCACTGAAATCAAAAGTGCTTATCCCTAGGTCAATGGGTAGATGTTTGCAGCCTCAGCCATTATGCTCTAGGTTTGATCATTCCTCTGCTGTAATGAATGAGTGGCTTAGTTCTTACACAAGCTCTTCAGGCAGCGCTGGTGGGGGTTCCTCAGTCAATGTTGCTGCAGAGGAGAGGAAGCCACCATGGTAAACAATACCACCAATGAGGAACTCTCCTGGCTGATGGTACATTTGAAGTGGACGGTGTGGACTTTGAAGCCTGCATTTTCCTATGTGAGCCTGACATGCATTGTAAGAAATCAGTTTCAGCAGCAAGACCACTAAAACCTCCATCCATGCAAGGGCAACTGTTTCTTCTACACAGAAACCATAATTTCTCTGGCAATAGTATAATCAGCTTCTCCAAGATAAAAATTGTCTCATTTGAATGGTAGTTAAGTTTCCTAAGAGGATGCAATCTGGGTGTATCCCAGACTCTTTTTAAGTAATTCTTGTTAAGTTGCTGTATCCTTTGTGTTATGTTGCCAGTTGCCAGTGAAAATCCAGAGCGATATTTTTTTGAGGAGCAGCAGATTTAATTATAGCTCTGTTAATAACCAAGGAGGAATGTAGGTATTCAGAACTAGGGATTCCCTGTGGAACTGCTGAAAGAAATGTGTTTGTCACATATTCAGGACTGTTATTTTTAATTTCCTTTCATTAGATAATAAGGGGCCAGTGGTGTATTGGTAAAGTTAGAAGTTCATCACAGAAGACCTTGGAACCAATGGAGATCCCAAAATGTAGTATGGCGTAGTCAGGATGAGCAGACCTGGATTCACACCAGCCATGTGGCATGACTGCAACCCTACACATAGTAGTTCCTTGGAACTACGCTTCCATGGTTTTTAAATCACTCGTAAAATATTATGAATTTTACAACAATATCTTTAGTAGTCTGAAATGCAACCCTTAGCTTTTAATTCATAATTTAAAATATTTGTACAGAAATGTTCCTTTTTAAACTTTAGTATGAGAGGGAAAGAACATCAAATTCAGAGAAGAATGAACTTGGAAGAGTGGCTCTGCTATGGTTCATGTCCACAGAGCTGTCTGTGTTCCTTGTTGGTATCAGAGTACTTTGTCAGGGGAAAGTCCAGGGAGAAGAGCTACATGGGATGCTCTATTGGATTTGGGGAACAGTTTAGTCAAAGAGACTTGTTCATGCTTTAATTCTTTCTTATGATAAGCTGTCCCCTGCTGTTTAACTCTGGCCTCAGCGAAATGATATAACATTTGGGAGGGGGGGGGGGAATGCAGCCCAGTAATCCAAAACTAGAAGTAATCCAAAACTTCCAGCCACAGTGGTAGCTATTTATATACTTGCACTGGAATGCTTTTGAACTGCTAGGTTGGCAGAAGCTGGGACAGAGGAACGGGAGCTATAACCTGAACTGCAGTGAACATTACATGTTGAAATGGGATATATCTGTTAGTAAGTGATAAAGTAGTTTTTATACAATCCAAACATAAATTGTGGAGCTTTTATTTCATAATTATTTCTCTGCAGTGAAGGAATGGGTTGATACTGTCATATGGCAATAATATGAATTACTGAGTGTACATCATATTTATGTGGTGAACTTCCCTATAACTGGAATCCTTCACCCACATTAAGAAAGGAAGAGACAAAATAGACATTATGACAGTGTCCCTTGAATTCTGTACATTTGTCTTCAGCATTCTGACATCCACTTCAAAATCAGGAGACAATGTGACTTTTTGAACATTGGGGAATTATTCAATATATCCCAAAATGAGGCAGGATGATGGTTCTTATACTCATAAGTCCCTTAACTTTGTCAGGATTCCTGGGAGCTGACAGATTCCAGGTTCCCCAGCAGAGAAAAAGGCTTTTTCAGAGCATCAGGGGTAGTTCCCCTGTTCACTCTTTTCTCCAGAGTGAATTCAATAGTCAATATCTATGATTGCCTAACATCAATCACCACAAGGAAAATCTAGAAAAAACATCTAGAAAAAATTATGTAAGGCAGCAGCTGTACACATGTTTGCAAATATTCTACTGCACACAAAGAAAAAAGCACAAGATACAGCAAAGGACAGGTTATTATTTATTTACTTTTTCTTCCTTATTAGCTGTTCTCTATTGTTCAACTCAGGCCTAAGAATGATTATGTAACATTTGGGGGAAAAGATGCAGCCCAGCAACCCAACACCAGAGGCTAAGATGGAGAAGATCTCCACAGCCACCATATATTTTCCCTTGGTGCTCAGATAGGAAGGAATAAAGGACAGCCAAACACTGCAGAAGACCAACATGCTGAAAGTGATAAACTTGGCTTCATTGAAACTGTCTGGTAATTTCCTGGCAAGGAAAGCCATAACAAAACTCACAGTTGCCAGGCAGCTCATGTAGATGAGGACACAGTAAAACATTGCCACACTCCCCTCGTTACATTCGAGTATAATTTCTTCCATCACAGAGTGCATGTCCACATCTGGGTATGGGGGAGAGGTTGCCAGCCACACAGTGCATATTCCTGCTTGAACAATGGAGCCGGAAAGGAGAATGGAGTGGCCTAGTCCTTTCCCCACCCATTTCCTCATCCTGGATTCTGGTTTTGTAGCCATGAAGGCCAAAACCACCGTGAAGGTTTTTGCCAGGACACAAGAAACAGCGGTTGAGAAGATGATACCAAAAGCTGTTTGTCGGAGGAGGCACGTGACCTTCTCAGGTTGGCCAATGAAGAGCAATGCACACAGGAAGCAGAGCAGGAGAGAGATGAGCAGAGCGTAGGTGAGGTTTCGGTTGTTTGCAATGACAATGGGCGTGTCATGGTGTTTTATAAATGTACTTAGTACCAGAGCTGTGATCAAGGAAAGGGAAAGAGAGAAACAGGCTAAACTGATGCCCAAAGGTTCTTCATAAGACAAGAAGCTGATATCCTTGGGTAGACATGCATTCCGGTTCTTGCTTGGATATTCTTTGTCTGGGCATTTATGACAGTCATTCATATCTGGAAAAAAATAAGGAAGTGACCTTTAGTTCATATCACGTCAGCTTCCTGAAATGTTGACTTTCTGTTTGAGAAGAAAAGAGCTCTGCTCAAATTAAATCACATTTAATACTGTCTGATGCTCTGTAACGTGGTATTGTTGCATTTAATCGGTTCAGAGATATTGGTCTGTAAATTGCAGAGCCAGGGCTATTCCTCCTCATGATTTTGGAACATATCATCACACTAGCCTGGGTGTAACTTGTGTAAGTCAAAAGGAATGAAAAGCCCCTTCTAGGTTTGATTTGAACCACATACCATCCAACTACTCTCAATGCAGAGTCATTCTCATTAGATTAACATATTTAGATTATCTGAAGGGCAATGATCACAAAGAAGCAGGATCTCACACACAGTAGATCATCTCCTCTTTTGAAAATTAAGTCATCCGTCCTTACAGCACCTTTCAATGCTTAGTACTGAGTCTGGATCTATTTAACTATTTATTTCTCTTACCATCCTGGTTTGCAATCTTCCCCTCAGCACATGGGATGCAATCGTAGCAGCAAGGGGGCTGTCCCTCCTTCACTTTCTTGCTGAATCCTGGAAGACATCTCTCAGTACAGACAGAAAGAGGTTGACTCTATTCCATAAATGAAACAGCAGAAGGTTCATCAAGAGCCTAATTAGTTTGGAACCTTTTATGTTCTTGGGCCTTTCCCTATGTTACTAAACTGACACAGCCTTTCAGTAATGTGTAATGGCTATACGAAGAGCCATTGCTTCTTTTCTTATTATTAATATTAATGTTTGAAATTATGTGATATTCCCTCTATATTGCTCTAGGATGTGCGGTGCCCCATCTGTTCTGCAAAGATTGCTTTGTCCATTAAGGTACACTTTGAAGTTATTCTAGTTTCCCTGTTAATTTTGTTATAATTGTTACTTTTGAGTATTTTGTCCACTTGGTAGACAGTTCTAGAACTGATTTCGGTGCTGGTGAGTACATCTGTTCTTGGACTTCTTGGACCCATCAGATGCTGCCTGGAGAAGAGTTCTGAAAATGCTACCCAGAGTGGCTGGAAAACCCTACTAGGAATGGGGGTGGTATTATAATTGGTGTTGTTTTTAATTTTTGAGGAATACAATCTTTGTGAATTCCAATACAAAAATATTCTGGACAAATACAGGAATTGGAAGGAAGCTATCAAAGCCCTAAGGCCCTCCTTGGCATGCTGCAACACAATTCTGTGCATGTTAAAAAGAAAATGCTTTTGAATACATATTTTGAGATAACTCATTTTTCTAATGCTCTGTCTTCTTGCTCTTCACAACTTTTGCTCTCATGTCGCTCCTTCACTCTCTCATTCTTCACCACTTCTCCTCCTTCCACCTCTTCCACTGGAACCCTCAGAAGATGAGTCTTCTCCTGCACCTGCTGCTGTCTGTTCTTAGTTTCTTCCTCTGGTATTATTATGCATACTTTCCCCAACTTTCTAGCAGGAAAGACAATTTCCTGGGGCTTATCAATTCATACATCATTTTTCACTCAGTCAGAAATCAGTACTTAATAAGTGTAAAGCAATCCCAATTTCTTTGGTTTATTTTACAATAGTTTTATTTTATACTTAGGATTCTGGTTGAAGTCTTCTAGTGGAAAAAAATAATCCATTTAATTAGTCCAACTTACCACTTGTGTGCACTTTTTGATGTAAGTTTGCTTCAAGGTGAAAATGATTATGAAGATGATAGCTTCATGGTCTCTGAGCATGTATACCCTCTTGTGATGAGGAAATGAACCCAGAGGCTCTATTTGACTGACAGAAAACCTTCCCTCCTGTCTCCAGGCCCTTTCATAGAAAAACTGGTATTTGACCTGGACCTAATGACCCACATTCATATGATGAATTGTGTGATGCAAAAACCACATTTGCTTGGATGTAGCTTGTAGTAGGGTCTGTGAATGGTTGGGATTAGGGTGAGAAAACCTAGCTTTTCTTATTTTCATCTGAACTAGGATCCTCCTAAAGTCTGTTCACACTGTTAGACTTGCTTAACTGTATTTTGTAGTAAAATGGTTCTTCTGTTTTGTAACCCCCTTAATAAAATATTTGCCTTTATTTCTTGTGTGGCTTCTAGCAGTAAGCTTTCGGCTCTTAATCTGGTACCTGGATGCTTTGGTCATACACCACTCCTCAACAGCAGCTCAGAAAAGAGTGAGAAAACATGCTGGTGGATAATGATTGTTTATTCAAAACTGACTCTCTTTTGAATTAGCAAACAATGCAACTCTACCTGGTTAAACCAACTGTGCCATGTGATGGCATCTTCATCAAGGATGAATGATTGGTCTGGTGGAGCCTGAGGATCTATCCTCCCAACCCTCACTCTGTGAAAACTTTGGTTGGTGAATATGATCCAATTGATAATATCCAAGCTAGATGCTGCCTCTCCATTCTGGTTGATGAAGACCACATCTCCTGATGTATTGTTAAACGATTTACTTCTCAGAAAGTGATGGAGCTAGATTGAAAGCAGAAAAGGCAATTGTTTGGAAAAGACTGCAGTCTAATGCAGGGCAGAGGATTAAGAAATGGTGGGGGGTGATTCAGTCAACTGTCAGTGGATTCAGGTCCAAGCATGGAGAGAGTCAACCAATTTTCTTTCACACACAGGCATCTCTCTCAGTCTTCCTTACAATCCTTCTCTGAGTGCCCACAAGTTAAATAGGTGTAGATAGTGAGGTTCCCCCTCTCTCCCTCCATCCCTCTCCCTGAACATCACATAAGAGACTGCAGTGGTGTGCTACCACCTGCTCTAATGAAGGATTTGTTTGATATGCGATAGAGGGGATGCTGAAAATCTCTCTCAACCGTTACCACAGCTTCCTATCTATGAATGGCATGGGATCTCATTAAGCTGCAAAGCTTCTCTCATACAAATGCTTTATGCTCAAACACAGGGCAGTACCTGTTCAAAGAAGGACACAACCATCATTTCCCTTCCCTAAAGGGTCTACTGCCAATTGCAAGCAGCACAATAACACCAACTCTGTCTGCAGAATTATAAATTTTGGGTTTTGCTATTTGAGGATGTTCAGCCTTTACCTGCCAAAACTGTGGATTTGGATTCTTCCCTCTCCCTCTGTACACCATTCCTCTGTGCCTGAGTCTGGACATGTCATTTAAAGCATGGGCTATGGCGTAGACAGCACTGTGGATGCTGTAACTGTGGCCTGTCATGCTCATTTCAAAAAGGGATCCAGGAAGGCTCTCCAGCTTCTCTTCTCCGGTGCAAATATTCCCCTCCACTTTGTCTGCAGTGATATCTGGCAATACACATTCAAAGGTCTGTTGCCAGAAGTCCCTGATAAAACCGTCCCCATCTGTGCTGGAAGGGTTTCTGTGCACAACATATTGATGAAATCCTGGTGGGTTTCTGAAGTGAATTTCAAAGGCTATAGCGCCACTGAATATTCCCGAATCCCAGTACCTTTGAAAGACAAATGAAGCAAACTCAACCTGGGCTGTTATTATCCATACTTTACTTTTTACATTATTTTTTATGTCATCATGTTCTGAAATGTATGGAAGCCATCTAAAAGTTGCCATGGAATAAGATTCTCCAGAGGCAACCACTACGTTAGCTTTGCTACTAAAAATTTTCTGGCTTATTATTGCCCCCTGATGTAGCATGTCATCAACTTCAGAAATAAAACTAAAATTGGGGATCCTTCCTAGGAATGCAAAGCAGACACCACTCTTGGTAAACATTTGGGAAATGGTTTGCACAAATCTTTCTCCATTGTCATTGTCTGTTGCAATGACTCCAATCCACATCCACCTGAAATGCAGAAGCAAAGAGAGAATTCCCTCATACTGAAGGGCTTCTGAGGCTGCCATCTGGTAGAAGGGAAGCCCTGGGCTTTTATCATTCATCACTGGAGCAGATCCATAAATGAGCTAAAGAGGGAATGGAGGAAGAGATGAGACACTGTAATATTTGCATTGTTCTTTCAAACTATTAATATACATTTTGTGGTGAATCCTGTTAGTTAGACATGCCCTTTGTCACCCACCAGGGATTGCATGCCCTCTCTCATTCATACAAATGACACAGGTGCAGATTGGGTGAAAATTGGAATCTTCTCCAATTCCTGCTTGTTAAGCATTTGTTCTGTTGAGCAGAGAGGAACAATGTTCCTATTTTATCTTTATTTTTTAAAAGCTTATTCATGCTTGCAAAATTTGGTAGGGACTTTTACGAAGGATAAAACTGATTGAAGGGACACACCATGCCCTAAAGAGAGGATTGCCTAGCACTGCTTTAGATATTATTTACTGCAGCCACGTCAGAATTGCATCTTGGGTCGGAATTGCAACATTTCTTTTGTGTAGCTTCTCTCATCTTCACAATGCACATATCCCAGCACAAAGCAGAACTTCCATTTCTGCCTCCTCTTTTTAAACTTCTTAGACATCATATGAACATTTATTTCACATTGGAGCCAGCTGCTCAGTACTATTACTATTCTCCTGCATAACTGGATTATATCTGCAATTTTCATACCTCCAGAGTATGTTTAATTTGAAAGCCCTTTCCCCCTAAACATTAACATATGGTGTTATGGCTGGTGATGAAGAAACCCATTCTCCCATCATTGGCCTTTGGGATGTCTTTGAGGTGTGTGATAGAGATTGGGGGTGTGGCATATTTTTTTCTGGTATTGCAGCCATTCTTATTTAGGTTACTTTATTTTATTTTAACTCTGTATCTCCTTTATTTTTCAATGATCTGAAGGTGGTGTACATGGTTCTGCTCCCCATTTTCTCCTCACCCTGAAATGTTGCTGTGAATTCAGCCTCTTTCTTTATGTAAGCTGATACATAGGTGTCCTACCTGTGGAATCTTATAGATATCTAAAACTGTTGCCACATAAAAGGAGATTTCAGAATCAAGTCCCCCAATGACCCCTGCCAGATTATTTTCAACATCACATATATAATTAGGAACAAATTTCTCTTCCATGGATAAAAGTACCAGTGTGGCAAGATATGTGCTCCTTGCATTGGAATAGCTGTCATATAAGTGAAAGCCCAAGGTGATATTGGGTAGGATGTGAGGGTCTTCGTTGATCTCCTTGACTGCAAATGCCAAGGACACGATGTGCTGGTAAACCTTAGGCACCACCCTAGAATGAGAGTTGCAAATAGTATCATAAGGAACTGATATATCCTTTTACATATCAACACAGTAGTTAATCATATCGAGTTCAGTGGAGTTAACTCCCAGTCCAGTGTATTGCTGAACAGTTCTTATAACAAGCTAGTTTTTCTTGATGTTTGCACAGAATCTCTTTTCTTGCAACTTGAATACATTGGGTTGGGTTCTACCCTCTGGAGCAAGAGAAAACAAGCTTGCTCTATCTTCTAGGTGACAGCCCTTGAGATACTTGAAAATGGCTATCACAACTGAACACAATCCGCCAGGTGAGGTCTGAGCAAGCAAAAGAGAGCTGCTCTATGATTTCTTTTGATTGGGGCACTATACTTCTGTTGATGCAGACTCCTTGATCCTTTTCACATGTTATACTGGCATGCCAGGTGTTCCCCATTTTAGATTTGTGCAGCTGGTATTTCCTGCCTAAGTGCAGAAACTGACATT